GAGCTGGCAAGCCTATCCTGGATTATCAGATGGTTGTTTAAGTCTATATAGGGCTGACTGGTTGTCTGAGAAGACTTGGTAGCTATGTCGTGGCAGTGCAAGCTGGCTTGTATACTCCATAGCCAGGACAGTGGCTTCAAGCTCTCCATTATATACCAGGACCCCTGATCCAATACTAGTTTGAAATTGATGCTGAGTTCTGCTGCAGCTCCCAGATGCTACAAAGCCTAACCCAACACCCGTGCTTTCTGCCATCAATTAGGCATCTGTGTAAATAAATGTTGTAGAGGTACAGTCAGTTTGTTGGAGCAAAGATTGATGTTTCTCTGCTGCTTCATCCTTGGGGATCCTCTCAATTGTGGTTGTATATGGGAGTGCCTGCTATTGATGTGTGGTGATGTATATGGTTGTATACACTTGGTATCTTCAATTAAATGGTTGTGAATACTAAGGGGGCTTAGAATATACTGGGGTGATTATAGCAATAAATGTTACGGGATGCGAATGGTATCTTATTGTGTTATTACTGTTATGTTATGTTACAGGTTATCAACATGATAATTAACCAATCCAACATATTTCCAGATAGCGCCGTAGCTAGTCTCTTTTAGGAGTGATCTACGGGTGAGTGTAGCAATTGGTGGTATCTAATTTATCACTAACCTGTTTCCATTTCCCTGACTCTGCATGCTGCACTACATACATGATGATTTACTACTGATGTGAAAAGCGCAATCATGACACCTGCCTTCATGGTTTAAAAGTGAATTGTTTAATTTGTTCTATTCTATCAAAATCAATGATATTTGCAATTGAATTCTTGATCCTGCTGATCTGAGTTGGCTTTTGAAGGTCAATATGCCTGTTCAATCCCATGTTCACTGGATGAAATTTGGATAGTTTTGATAGTCTAAGTGCAAATCTTCGTATGTTTTTATGTAGCCTGAACCTTAGTGGAGCCAGAGCAGCTTCTTATTCCATGGGAAGAATTGGTGTTGTCTTGAAGACACTAACGCTATAGGAAATTAACAGGAAAACCTGCCAGCTCCACCGGTCCTGCACCCATAGTGCACATAAAGTATTAGGTTAGGACCAATTGATTAAAAAATAGAAAATACCAACAAGCGAACAACCCTAATCTCAAGCCGGCAAAGACGAAAACTTCACATTCCAGTGGTGCCGGTGTAATCGCTCAGTATGCTCTGCATATCTGGGATAGCCAAGAAGAATCGCATCCGAATCGAAGTCGAAAGCTACCTCAAACACATCTCCATTTGACGACTTCTCGCCAATGCCTCTCTCATCATTGTCATCTGAGTCCTCAACCCATCTCTAACTATGCATCATCTCGCCTCAACGACCAATAAGGAAGTTGCTCCAATTGCATACAGGAGCTTGCCCCATTAATCTCCAGCCATCTCCCACTACGTATTTACGACGCTATTTATACCCGCAAGGAGGAAATCAAGTCATAATATACAAAGTTGGGGTCTTGGCTTATGGGGGACTGTTGCTCTAATGGGGCTTCACATATTGAGGGAGGACAGGCAGCTGAGACGTGGGACGAATGAGTGAAGAGGTCACAAATGGGTATGCTGGGACGCACATTTTTGGAGTGTCTTCGACTTAAGATTGTCTGTGAGAGCAAAAGTAACGATTTGGATAGTGCAACCGACACTCTAAAAATAGGCAACGATGGAAGGTGTTTTAGTCCGCCTCCTGGTCGTGTTCTCCCCGAATTAAAGTATGGATGGCCTGGATACCTACCTCATTCGAGAAAGGGAGGACTGTGAGGCCATATCTCGCGCCGCGGCTATATACAAGATGGCAAAGGCATGTTAGGGTGGCCAAAGGTCTTTCATGTTTTCCCTTTGGTGTATATTAACGGTTGAGGGAAGAGTGTAAGTCCCTAGCACCAAGGTCTCGAGTGGTATCAGCGAATGCACCCACTACATGAGTAGTCCAAATGTTAAATTAAGTTATCGTCGTATATAGTCGCCGGAGAAGCTAGTCTTCTCGGTGTCATGCTCTTTGAGTGCAGGGCTTGCGCCCGTCACGATTAAATAAATTTTCATCATAGCCATAGTGACCTGCTTTAGCCCTGAGTTTGCCAGGTCTAGCTTATTTACTAGGCTAACTCTTGTAAAGTGGGAGACATGCGTTTTCAGAGGTAATAAAATCTGAATCGCAAGAATATTTGCTCTTCAGATTGGTCGTACTTATCTACTGATGCCTTGGGCTCTAATGTCGGAGTGGGTCCCATTGGTTTGGGCTTTGAGCTAGTGGGTATTACTGCCCCTGGCTGTGCCGCCTTTACGCCTTTTCGGACTACTTCAGTCCAAAGACTTTGAGTGATTAGACCTGTTCTCTCATTTGGGCTTGACACTGGACGTGGGATACCCGCAGTGCACTTTTGTTGCGGCCTTTTAGCTTTCGCGGAAAGAATTTTAGAATTGTGGCCATTCGCAGGCCGTAGAGGCATTTATGTGTGCTAGCTGAGCCCACAGGGTTTCCAAAATTTTGTCTTGGAGAGCTTTTATGTCCCATTCGACGAGGAACTTGGTCTCGGGAAAGGCCAATGACTCATTTGGATTTTAGGGTTGGCCATAATGGCCCACCTCGCAGATCGGCTCTTCGGTTTGCGGTGTGATTGATTGTGGTTGTTGTTTTGGAGGCCTAATGAGGAACATTATGACTTCAGGACGCATCGAAATTATGAGTGGAAGGGGGGTCAGGAGCAGGCATCTGCGGAGAACTGGAGCGGCATGGAAGGTAATTTGATGCTGGAATTTTATGTTACGATTATATCGAGTATGTAAGGGTTCGTATATGAATAATGTAGTATGTGTGTGGTGAACAGCTGTTGGCTGATAGGATTCGATTTTTTTTGTGAATTTGATCCCAATATAAGTACGCAAAGTATATAGCTACTTGACCACTTAATCTGTTGTAATATTTTTGAAGTGATTTCCGGGCTTACCATGGTCAAAGCGATAGTGTATGAAGTTCATGCGATGCATTCAGTAATAATTGCAACGTGCGTGAATTACCAACTTACTTCTGTTACCATACTATCCTCTTGCACATCCAGGGGGACTATTCTCAACACCTGTCAGTGGTGTCCCCTACGAACCTTCAGCTCTCACTGAAGAGTCTGCAGAGCCGAGATTGAGTAACACCTTATCAACTTTGAGCTGAGTTATCTCCCCCTCCGTCAAAGATACGCTTCCAATAACACACAAGACGACCAAAACGACGATAATGATGCTGAGAATGAGGAAAAATAATATGGTACCAAACGCTACAACGGTAGTCAGAGAAGCCCTCGTTATATCACAACATGTGCTACCCAACGGCGCGCGAACAAAAAGCCCACAAAAGCAAAGTAAAAGACCCTTCCGCCCTCAAGAAAGGCAGATTTCGACTTGTCAAAAATATTGTCCCTACTAATCTATACCTCCGAATCTACTAGCCAGTAGGGCATCTGAAATACATGAGTTACTCGACGACCCCGCGTCCGTAACGACTTTTGGATGCTAGGCTAGACTCCTTCACGACAGTCAATCTCGACCAAGACTTTTCTGGTATTCTTTTACGACCTTCGGTTTGTACTGCGGCATGAATCAGAGAGGAGTAAGGAGGAGGCTAGGAAGGTTGAGAGACGCTCTTGGGTATACACAGGTCTGCTGTGCCCGGCCTCTTCTTCACAGGAGAGCCCCGCACCCAATGGGTTTTAAGACTTTTCCCTGCAGCTACACACCCGCAAAATGCCATTGTTTAGTTGGCTGAAGAGAAGAAATAATGACTGGATAACGGCTCCTCTTAGTATTTACTCGAATGAAGACCTGTTGGGGTATTACTGCTGAAAAGAAGTCGTGAGGGAGGCAAAGGAGGGAATACACTACCCGAGGCATATGTAATCCCGGCCTGTAGGCAGAAAGGACTTACATGTCCATACATAGTTATAGACTCATTAGGACAATAAACACTCACTCGCTCTTCCACATCCAGAGAATTGCTGTAAATTTCATTTCATGGTTGTGAATAGGAGTACCACAGGGGGGCTGTTCTCAACACCTGTCAGTGGTGTCCCCTACGAACGTCCACCTCTCACTGTAGAACCTGCAGAGCCGAGATTGAGTGACAAAATACTTACCTCGACGAGGATTCCCAATCGATTTCGCCGTCTGTATCGTCTTCATCTCTCAGCACATTCCCCTATCACCATTATCATGAGGCTAACCACGATCAGATCAGATGGTAGGGTCGGAGCCCTACTCGTCACCCACCCTTGATCATGGAGAAAAAGCCACCCGATGAGTTTCCGGAGCGTACCCAGCACCCGATACGGAGATGGTGGATTGGATCAAGTCGACCTCGACTGTTACAAAGAAGGGAGATATAGATGAATATGCGCACCTCATGTGGTCCCGGTGTCTAGGCCTCGCCTGGCTGGGGCTGCAGGTTTTTTGAGACTTTTTCCCGCGCACGCAGTTTCCATTGCTACCATTTTAATTTTTTTTGGGTAGTAGGTTCCGTGGAAAAGGTGGCTGAATTCCACGGGTAAATACTGAGCTGAATGGCTATTCATCAAGGGGAATATATCAATGATCTTACAAGTAACAAAAGAGGCAAGGAGCACTGTACAAGGTGTGGCCTGGGTCAGAGAGGAGCTCAATGTGCTAGATAGTCATAGACTCAAGTAGTACAATGAAATCACAAACATACTAAACACTAGGAGCACTACAAGCTTGCCTGACCGAATCAAGGAATGATCATTTGTAAGATTAAAAACTAGTCGAATCGCTAAGGGTACAAATCGTCTCAGAGTGAAAACAGGTGGGCCCCCATTAATCCGATCGGAGGAACGTTCTTAATGCTAGTTAGCACCCCTATTTACCCAACCTCTTTAACCTCCTTCAACGACGGGAAGTAGAGGTTCATCGAAAGGAAACTCAAGCATTACTCCCACATAACTGCAATTTTTTTCAATATTAGTCATGCAAGATTCGGAAGTAGTCTTGGAATCTCCTGTCGAACCTCAATCAAGGCATGTTGTGTACTGTGGAGGTAATTCTTTCTCTAAGCTACAACGATTATCAGGCTGACCATCTTCGCCGCCTAGTTTGCTATTTACCACCTGAAGTATAAGGGCCTAAGCTTCGGTATCAACACTAGCTTACTATCGAGCAAGTAGTACTGTGAATTCGGTGGAACAGTAAAAAAATGCCAAGAATGGCTTCAGAAAACACATCCGGAAATGTTCCATCAGTTGTGGTCCGAAGGTATTCCTAAATTTTTATGCCACTCATGGAAAGATTGTTCTACCGCAAACTTTGAGTTCATTTTTCTAAGAGTATTAATATAGATGCATTATCAGCAGCGGTTTCTTCTCTGTCCGTCGACGCACTCAAGCGAGCAGAGAAAGACGCTCTCAAGAAAGCTATCAAAGCCGAGGCTGCAGAAGCTAAACAAGCTGCCACCATTGCAGCATCCAAAGTAGTAATTAAGAGGGTCGAAAGAAGCAAGGTTTGTTTTCCATTCACATTTTATCTATTGTGCTTTAATGGGAATAAAGATTTATTGCTTTGTAGCTATCTACATTATACTTTTGAAGTTCTGCTCAGCCTAGTTTTAGTATTTGAAGTTTTTTATACTAGGCTAACCTCAACTATCAGCGCAAGTACGTTACGACAGTCACTGGACTTGAGGCTTTCTCACTGGAGAACAAAAAAGTAGCAAAGGATTTAGGGAAGAAGTTTGCTACAGGTTCCTCCGTCACGAAGATTGCTAGTGGAGGAGAAGAAATTGTGGTTCAGGGTGACGTAAGTGAAGAGATTGAGGATTTCTTACTGGAAAAGTACCCAGTAATTCCGGGAGATAATATCGAGCTAGTCGAAGATAAAAAGAAAAAAGGAACAGGCACGGGACCAGGTGGTGGGTAGCCAGGATTGAAGAATCGTTTAATACTTTAGTACATGAATCGCTCAAAATGTCAATTGTTAGGTGGTTTACATTAGGAAAAATTGCACGATGCTTTTTTCCCTCGATCACTCGCGAATGATTGAGATTTATTTGGCTGTTCCGATTACTTTCTTTTTCGTAATACTCTACCGATACCTGTGCTGGTTGAACTAGTGCCACCCTTGGTTAGTGGCGATTTTTTCTGGCTTCCCATGTTCTTAATTGCCCCAAGAACACCTTTCTTTTTAGAAGCAGCACCGACTTTGACCTGGTTTTTCGTGCCCTGACTTGTCTTTTTGACGACTGTGCTTGAGCTAGAATTGCTGCTTTGGCTCGTCGTACTAGCTCGTGCCCTCGCTTTTGCTTGTGTGGTGGAGGGTGTTGCAGCCTTTTGTCCTCTTGCGGCAGCCCTCGTAGGACCTGTTTTAGGCTTTATAGTACTGGCAGCACCTCGACTAGCATCTACCCTAGAGACGATGCTTCTGAGCCTTTTGGATGAACCAGTCGAGGAGTGCTTTAGGCTCGGTTTGACAGGAGAGGTAGGCTGCGAGGGAGTTGGAATTTTTCGCAGATTAAGACGCATGGGCGAGTATGGCAAGGTTTGAGAATTGGTAGATCGAGGCGAGAGTATTTGTGAGGGCGGGAGGTTGGATATGATTCGTGCAGAAGGAAGTGGAGATGCCCGGTTACGCTTCTTGGGATTATCGAGGTCTTCATTTTCTTTGTCAGGGCTGAGGACGTGACTGTTCCAGTTAGTAAGCAGCTGTGTGTTAGCAGAGTAGCCGACCTCGTTCTCTTCATGCCTCTCTTGGGTAAAGGTCCCGCTTTCAGGTTCTTAGGCGCAGCAAGGACGTTTATATGGGGTAGTCTGTTCCGTAGGTTGGTCGGCCCAGGGTTATTAGGGGCGGAAACGCCGCCATACTTGCGCAGCAAGTCTCCCATCTTAGCATGTCGCAGGGCTGTTGGAATTCGATTGACACGGATTTCAATTCGTGTGCGAAGGCCTTGTGCCTGAAGCATGTACTGAGCGCGAAGCTTCCTCGCGCGCTCAGTAACTGTCGCAAGTTTGGTCAACGATTTCTCATCCCAACGCACTTCATCTACTGACTCTCAAGTTGCAGGTTTTCCATGAGTGCCTGCTTTTGGGTACGCGTGATATTCAATCGCTGCTGATTCGTTTTTGTTCGATTGTGAGGTGTAGCAGCAGGGCTGAGAGTGTTCGGTGTTCTTTGTGGTGAAGTTGGGAGAGGATACCTCGTTGTATGTGCTGATGTTACTGGTTCAGCGGACTCACGCGGACTTGCCCGTGAAGAAGCCATCGCTTCACTGTCGATGATTGGAAATTTGTAGGAGATTTTAGCTAGCAGTTGAGGGTTGTCAAATTGTGAGGTTGTAGGTTTGTATTCCGGGACGTGATATCGGAATATAAACGGATGTCAGAGAGGCCCGTCAGTGTTTAGTGGACAGGGGCACGTGGGCTAAGCTAGTCCTAAAACAGCAGCTTTAGATTGATAGTACGGCTCACTCGTATGTGCGATGATCGATGGTAAAGAATAACCCTGAGCCTGACCCAACAAGCTCTGAATAGTTGGTCATCGAATCCCACGCGGCACTTCCCTTGATACAACAATATCTGATTGGAAAATTATCCACAGTCGTATTTCACTATGGTTCTTGAGGCCGTTATGGTTGTGGTGGATAACAGCGAGAGTAGTCGAAATGGCGATTACACCCCAACCCGATTTGAAGCTCAATCCGACGCTGTATCCATGATATTCACCGTTATCACTGAAGCAAATCCTGAATCGTCGGTGGGATTAATGAGCATGGGTGGTAAGGGGCCAGAGGTCCTCGTAACCTTAACAACCGATTACGGAAAAATTTTAGAAGGTTTACATCGTACAAAGAGCAAGATTCGGGGTGAAGGACATCTTGCTGCTGGAATTCAGGTTGCTGGCGTACGATACTGCCCTCCAATCATCAAGGTTTATGCTGACTTTCGAGAAACAGCTAGCATTAAAGCACCGCCAAAATAAATCCCAACGTCAACGTATCATCGTTTTTACTTGCAGCTCCATTCCAGAAGATGAGAAAACCCTTATCAAACTGGCAAAAAAAATGAAGAAAAATAATGTATCTATCGATTTTGTAGCTTTTGGGGATCTGGATGACGAAAACACAAAGAAGTTGACCGCTTTCAATGCGAACGTTAAGAGTTCTGACAGTTCGCACATCGCTATAATTCCACCGGGCCCAGGTCTCTTAAGCGACCAGCTTGTGACGAGCCCAATATTGAACGGTGGTATAATTGCTCAAGGAGGTGGTACGGCTGGAGAGAGTGGCGTAGGTGGTGATAACTTTGAATTTGGTATTGATCCAAGCATTGATCCAGACCTCGCATTGGCTCTACGGATGAGCATGGAGGAAGAAAAGGCCAGAGTAGAGAAACATAAAAAAGACATGATTGACGCTGAGGCAAAAGAAAAGGCTAAACTGGAGGGCATCAAGGAAGAGGATGAACAAACTCCTTTGTTAGGTAAAGGAAAAGATCAAAAGGATGACGATTCAGACAAAATGGATATAGCGTGATCATTAAGAAACGTAATCTTTGGGAATTATACCAACTGTATACTAATCGGGTGGGTTCTAACGCTCTCACCAATCCACATCAACAGTTGCCCGGAGAAGTCCTGATTGAAGCTGTGGATAAAAAGAAAAGGCAGCAAGAGCTGATTTTGTGGATTCCCCGGACAATGTTTGTATTCTTCCTTCGCATTAAAAATACTGAACTATGGACAAACTATGTAACACGATTATTTTCATTTAAATTTCCTCTAAACCTACTTACTATTCATGACCCTGAGACATCCAACAAGTCGCCTCTCCCACCCTTCACATCTAACGGGCATCTCCAGTTGATAAAAGGGATTTTTCATGACATAATCAACGTAGAGCTCGTAAATATTACTTAAAATAAGATCCACATTTGGTTGCTGAGGTTCGGTGAATAAGAGAAATTTAGTGCCTGTAAGGGTGCTAAAGCATTGCATGCGGAAGTTTTCCGTCTCAAGCACTTCGATGCCTGAAGGCGGTTCCGGCCTCTCTGTAGGCGCGAGCGCGGTCGACTCGAGGTGTTGAAGTGGATGAAGGCGTGTAGCAATAGCGTGAACCCTGCGAGGTGAGGGAGAGTCAGAGCAGTGGAATCGGCAAGACTTATGAGAGAGAGGCAGGTCGGGCTAGACAGGAGAGGGTAGAGGCAGGACGAGGAAGACGGACCCGTGAAAAGTCCCGGCTAATACGAGATAGTCATTGATGCTGAGCTTGTTCAGGCCGTCGGCGAAATCTCGTTGGTAAACGAGGCCTCCGGCCTTGTTGATAATAAGCAGCGCGTAGACAACCCTATACCACGCACTATTAATAACTCGGTCTAGCAGCAGAAGGATAAAGAAGAGATGGACGTCGAGGATGGGGGCGCAGTACATGTTTCTTTTAGCCAGACAGAGACGCCGTGGTCTGTAAAGACTCAGTGCTCCACCAGAAGAATCAGCAAGCGAAACAGAACGTATTTGTGACGCGACTGAGCTCTAGTCACGGGGCCAGCAGTATTGGCGGGCGCCAAGCTCAGTATTTGGGCTAGCCGAAGGCTGATGGCGTCTCGGTGTTCGCGCCTTTCTTCCAAGCCCGCCGTAATCAATCTATCGCACCTGCGCCATCGCGTCTGTCACCCATTGAGCGCTGATTTTCTAAGGTGTGGCTTCATCTAATACTAGATCCGACTCGTGGCGCCGAACCTTAATCCTCTAGGCATTTTTCTCTTCTCTGACTTCTCGCTACCGACGACGACAACGATAACTACTAAAGCAAGGACAAATAATGTCAGGACCAACACCAACCTCGCGTTCACGCGCTCCTCCACAGGGCGATGAAGAAGCTTCGAGCGAATTAAAGTTGGGCGAGTTCCAAGATGTCGACGCGCTGACGCACAGTGAGGCGGCTCTCGTAATTAATGCATTGATGGCGAAGAGACGGATGGGCGGCAAGGATCGGATTGGCGAGACAGAGTAGGTTGGTTTTTCTTCCAGTGATTGTGGCTACTGCGTGGCGCGCCATGGAGATGCGAGTAGAGCTCGACGAGACGTGAAGGCCCTCGTCCTCGATGGCGCCAACTTCTCAAGACCACGCTAGCTCCGACGGTGTAGATGGAATTGCGCGCAAGAGAAGCGAGCAATGGAGATGATAAGTCAAGTTGGCTGATTCCAAAGGGTAGAATGCTCCTAAAAACGACCGAGTACCTTGATCATTTCGCGCGCTTTAAGCGGAAGGAAAATGTGGAAGCAGTTGAACGTCTGCTCTCAGCCCACAAAGAATTGGCCAAATTTGAGCGCGCACAACTCGGTTAGAGACCCCCATCCTCCCTACCTCTCCCCTCTCCTCCTAAACACAATGGTCAGCTCGAACAAGAGGCCTACTGACACCAAAGACATGGCCGAGCCATGCTGACCACAATGTCAACATAGGAAGTCTCTGTTGCGACACAGCCGAAGAAGCTAAAACGTTGATTCCAAGTCTCCAAGACAAGATAGGCGATGACGAACTCCAAGAACTACTCGACGAAATCACGAAGCTGATGGGCTATGGAAATTAGACGTCATGGGACGACACTGGAGCTCAATATCATTGTTCGGATGGGAGCGAGCCCAAAAAAGGATTAGGAAGCGCTCATTACGTCCACAGGTATGCCGATCGGAGGCTGTACATGGCTAGAACAGCTACGTTACCTACAAGGCGAGCCCAGTTCCTTCTTAACCTTTCATGATGGCAATCCCCGGTTTCGGGGACTCGCCTCTCTTCTATATACATCTACTGCCAGATCACCTGGCAAGACAGCATGGTCCCATGCTAGTGCATATCGTCCTGGTAAGACTTGATGCATCGGCTGTACTTCCACTGTATCCTTATTTTAGGCGACTTTTGTGATGCCACAATGCGCATCCGCAGCAATGGGGTCAATTCAATTTGACCAGGACAAACGAGGTGCAGTCGTCGCTCGTATAGTGAAGAACTTTAATAAGCCTTGTTCTCTCTAATCGCTTTCAACCCACGTGAACTTATCACGTAGCGCTTTTCCAGTAGTCTTAACTTATCGAGCGTATTAATCGCCTGATTTTAATAGCATCGTATCATTAGGTATTGGTCATTGCCTCGATTGCTTCGAACTGTAGTATAATTGAAGCACAGACTCTTTTTAAAGTCATGGCTTGGAAGGGTCTCTTTTCATTTCTACACATTAAAGATAGCATAACTATCTGACCCTCATCACTCGTAACTCGTAACTCCTCGCCAAAATACTAGAAAAACTCCATGTAGCTAAAATGAGATTGCCACTTTCAACGCTAAAAGAAAATAGCCGCAAATTCTCGAACGTTTGGCCCTGATTACTATTCTAATGTTGAAATATCATTCACGAACTGTCCAGTCTAACCCCCTTCAAAATATCATTAATCTGACAGAAACTTCGCAGTATTTCTTCCCGTGCGCCAACCGTGTTGAATTAAATATAGGATCGGCAGTAACTGGCGGATTTCCTGTAACTCTGTAATCTATCTTCCGAGCAACCCAAGTCACCATTAGAAATCACCTGGCCTGATCTAAATGGCTACATAAGCCAACTCTCTCGGCCAGAGAGCAAGGTATAGCAATCAGATAAGGTAGCTAGGTGCCATGCGAATAGATTCGGAGGTGATTATCGGATGTATCACCCGATCAAGCGCTTATCAATGCATACGGATCATGTACGTACGATTAGATAGAGCAAGCCTATCATCGATAGTCATATGTGTTCAGAATAGCTTTCCAGGCTCTGTCGATGCGCATTTAGTGATTGCGTACTTTTGATCCAAGGGAGTGGTAGTGATGGCGTAGCGCGAAACCTCTAGGACCAGGTATAACCTATTTTAAGAAATACCCCTGCCCAAAACCCGCATTACTACTGGGAACAAAGCTGGGGAATGATGCCTAATATCCCCGGCTAACGGGTTATCCAATGGCTCTCGCGTAAAGTGACAGCACCTTTATCCTTGGTTCGATGCAAGGGTACCGTATTTGTGCGAATTTAATGGCACGTTGTAGCTTGGCGGTAACGAGTGACATTTCTGAAGGAGTTTGTCGTAACTATCTGTCGTAACAAGATGTCGAGTTTCAGAGAAAAGATGGCTTGGGATCGGTGTTATCCTTGGTGAATACATGGTGTTTAGTTGATGCGGCGACGAGAATTCGCACGAGATTAGCCTGGAGGGTTGTAACGAAACCGTCGACCAGCCACAGGAATTCCGATAAGCGGGGTGCGCGTCTATCGGAGGTTCCACGAGCTGATTTTTTTCAAAATCAGGTAGAGGCGCATTATCATGATCATTGTCGTTCATAGCAGAAATTGAGTGCGAATGACCAGCGTGACTCACACCTCTACTGCTGCTACTGTTTCTGTAACCATTGAAGTTGCTGAAGTCATTACAACGTCCTACTAGCGGGAATTAGCTGAGGGTAATGGATATGACCGTGCGTGGGGAAACTTGCCGCCAAAATCTTCCAAGCTACTGTCATGGTGGTTGAGCAAGGTCATGCCAGGTACCCTATTTTTTTCTCTCATAGAATCCCTGCTCACATCACATCGCCAATCATGTAGCCCCCACCCATGGCGCATGACTAGACACAAGCAGATAGCGACAATGAGCAGTCCGCTTGCAGTGGCCGCCGCAATGGCAATTATGATATCGGATTTTGTCGTTGGAAATTTTATTCCAGACTCTTCTATTGCTGAGGCCGTAATTGGTGTTGGTTGATATGAACTATCGCCACCACTGCTCGTTAGCGACAAAGCTGCAGATGTAGTAGCACTGAGCATGTTGACTAAGGCTGTCGTTGATGAGATTGTTGACGAGGTCTCCATACGAATAGTAGGTGTGGCGATGGAAGATGGATTTGACTTTGTTACCATGCTCTCTTGATCTGGACATGCGAGAAGATGGCATGGATCCACTGAACAACAGCCTTGGAAAGCGGTCGAGCGCTCATAGTCATCATTGGCTGAACAGCTATACCATTGTGCTGCTAGATTTTCACAGGCTCTGTCTAATCTTTTGTTAAGGCTAGGCATTATGATTTTATTCTCCTTGCTAGATGTGACTATATATATGGGCAAAGCGAGGGGTCGGCAGAAAATGGTCAAAGGGAGGTCGTGTGTGTGTGTCTTAGTCGTTGTGAAAGATCTTGGTGGGAATCGAGTCAATAAGTAGCAATAGCGTCTAAACGGAAGAAGACGAATGGGAGGCAGGATGATAATTGGGGCATCGAGGAGCCAGCATTGGCTACATGGATAATCCGCTAGAATATGGTAATACCCTCTGATGAAGGGGAGGAGAATCGGACAAAGTCAGTCTACCTGAACTGCTATTGCTGTTGATACAGCTGTTATTTCGGGAGATACACGGCAAGATCATCGTCAGCGCTTGATTGACGTGAGTCTCGCACCTCCAAAACAGCTCAAAGAACTTTCTACAAGCCCTATCTTAGTAGCACCCACGATCGGCGGAAAACAGATTAGCTTTTCACTTGCCTCCTAGACCGTCAAACTGGAGGAGATAGGTAGGAATCTCGGTTAGTATTAATGAAGGACGCACATAGAGCATGTGTGCGTTCAATGATGATCTCACACAGATTTTGCTGAGAGTCTGTTCATAACGGCCTATCGACATCTTACCGCTGGTCGATACGCACACATGCAGGAAGAATGAGAAAATTCCTCTAAATTCGGATTAGGGCTGGGATATTTGTCTCGCATGTCTACGGGATCCTCGCATTCGAGAAGAAAGTAGCTTGTCACTCACTGCGTTCCGATAATATTGTCCTCGCTAGTTGACTTCGGCCCTGACGTAGGATGGAAGTCCGCAAGCATAGACCCGATCTACCAGTAGAGGAAGTAATGCAAAGCTTAGCTGCCTGTACCCGACAGCCTTGTTGTATTACAAGGGTCGCCCGTCCACGAGAGCGTCTGAGGGCGTTTAACCGCTTGTTGCATAGCACTTGTCATAGCTTGGGTGCATATTCTATGCCTACGGCACTAAGATATCTTGCATTGGGTTAAGTAGTTCACTGAGATTGAGAACTCGTAATCATTCATGTGGAAAGGCTTGCTCTTGTCTACTCAGGCCTCTAGGCTTTTTGAGTCGAAGTATTCTGAATATTAAGCATCTTTATCACTTTGAACGCCTTCATACTGCAATGAGAACGATTGGACTTGGAAACAGCTAGCCTTGCCTGCATTCTAACCATAATGAAAGGTAAATTTATCACACTATTAAAAATACAACAACTGTGATACGTGTGTTTAACTCTAACCCTTCACATCATCTATCAACAAGGTAAGAATCATCCACCCGCCCATAACTAAATAAACTAAACGTGGGAAGACTATCCTCCATGGCTGTCAGTGGTGTCCCCTACGAACCACCAGCTCTCACCGTAGAGCCTACAGAGCCGAGACTGAGGAACAAAGCCCTCACTTCGATGAGGATTCCCAGTCGCTTTCGCTGTCTGTATCGTCTTCATCTCTCAACACATTCCCCTATCACCATTATCATGAAGCTAACCACGATCAGATCAGATGGTAGGGTCGAAGCCCTTCTCGTCACCAACCCTTGATCATGGAGGAGAAGCCATCCCATGAGTTTCCAGAGCGTACCCAGCACCCGATACGGCGATGGTGGATTGGATCAAGATGGCCTCGACTGTTATAAAGAAGGGAGATATAGATGAATATGCACACCTTATGTGGTCCTGGTGTCTAGGCCTTTTTTCTTTTTTTTAAATTCATGTTGTATTCAGCTATTTAGCTATGACAACTTAAATTTACAAATAAAGCAAGCATATGGCTTAATTCGACGCCCCAAGTGACGATATCGCATTCCACCTACGACATTTTACTGCTACATTTATCTCTCAATCACTCATGCCGCCCCAGTCCTCCGCAGAGGCTGGTTCCTGGCCCCCCCTTCCACCCGCAAATTCGACGCGTCCTAGTGTCGAAATGGTCCTCACAGGGCCACCAAACCAGCCCGAAAATACACAAACAAGCCCAGCTCCGATCCAGTGGGCCATCAGAGGCTGCCAGTAACAGTAAGACAACAACCCTTCCGCCAACGGCTACTAAGTCAGGAGGAAATAATAACGCGAGCACTCCACGACCAGTGCAAATACTCATGAGAGAAAGCAGCAGCTAGGCGAAAGGCAAAGATCTGGCTTCGAAAAATCCTACTAGGCCAATCGAAGGCGATCATATACGAAACTCTAACACCTCGGAGAGATCATGGAGTCAGGTGGCCAGGAAAAAGGCAAGGCCTGTACAAACAGTGGCGTCAAAATCGACACCAGTCAATGGGTCCCAGTCAAAAGCAACCGGCTCTACAAAATTGCCGAAGACAAGTACCCCCGCTTTCAAACTGGCCCTCCCTGACGAGCGTGTGTTCCTACGGGTCAAGCTCGACCACCCGTGGAGACGCATGTCTCCCCACTACATAAAAATAAGCCTCGCAAGCAAGCTTCGCTTGGCTAGCTCTGAAATCAAGCAGGTTACTGTCGTCAACACAGGGTTCGCGATACAAGCTGAAAGAGATGCAGCAAGAAACGCGCTCTTCTCAGGTGCCGTGCTCTTGGAGAGCACAGAAATGAAACTTGAAGCCGCCTCCAACTGGATCTCGGTGTTAGCTCCGAATGTACCGGACAGGCTCTACACTCTAGAGGGAACAGCGCCAGTCACACCTAATATGGTGATGCAAGAAGCGACTATAAAGACAGGCATTAGACCGACCTCAGCTCGTGCGTTCGCGACAAGCATGGCTAAGCCATCAACCGACTGGTTGCTGCAATTTGTAACCGGTAAGCCAAAACTGGGTGAGCGACTCTTCGAAGAGAGCGATCGCCTACACGAGCTCCAGCTCAAGGCCAAAATCGCGCAATGCAACCGATGCTGGGGACATCACCCAACAAAGATTTGCTCACGATGTGGATCGATCGAGCATAAAGCATGTTGGGAAATATACTCTGTACGATATTATATGGATAAATATGATGAAGTAAAGAAGACTTGATATTTTAAAACTATGGGAACATTGGACTTATAAATACATCTAAGGGGAGAAATTCCCACTAGTCTCGTGTGCCTGTCAAACCTAGTGATGACCAGCCACCTCTCATCTACCATGATGAGCCAAGGTGCACTGTAGTACGTAAATATCCAAACATATAGGCGACAGTAGGCACGATTAGCGTACTCGGGACATGTGTAGAGAGAGTCGATCTTGTCGGAAACCTGAGACGAAACAGGTAATGGTGGAGTCCTAAATTCGAGAGTCAGAATTTCCAACAAAGCATCTGTCTGTAAGCAGACCATTCCGAGGCGTATGAACTGCCATGGACCACACTCTGCCGTCGAGCCTAACTGCATGGCAAGGCCGACGCGGGTTGGCGGCAAAACTATGCAGCGAATCAAAGACCAGCTATCAGTTATACGCGAACAAGGTCAAAGGGAACGGAATGCTTCGATCAGAGAGATAAAAGCAAAGCAGAAAGCCACCGAAGCGACTGCCGAAAACGAAACTACTAACGTTAATCAATGCCCGTAAGGGACCACAACCTTACCGAGCTCCACACCACGGCAACTACTAGCTCGTTCCTCTGTGCTAATTTGGGCAGAGGAGACCCAGCTAAGGACATCATACTGCAATCCGCTTGGGATTCAGGAACCGATGTCCTACTTATCCAGGAACCCTGGACCCAACAAAAGGACGGCTTCTGGCTCACCAAGTCGCATTCCGGATTCGATAGGCATTTGCCTCCCCGTGTCGCCACAAACTCCAAAAAGCCACGCTCCCTCATCTACACGCAAAAAGGGATTAAGTGCCGACAGCAAGCAATCTGTGAGACATCACCAGATCTGATTGCAGTAACAGTAGAAGGAGCCACATTTGTCTCCGTATGCCGCGCTCCTGGAGCAGACCTTTTGCCGCTGCTATCATGAGCTCCATCTGGGCCTACAGTAATTGGCGGAGATTTCAATGCCGTTCACACCGACTGGTATCCAATGGCTACTAGGCTACACGGCGACAGCCAGGTGCTCACTGAGTAGATGTTCGAGCATGGTATGGGCCTATCTTCCGCACCGGGCGTCCCGACCCACGATCTCGGAAACATACTCGTCCTAGTTTGGTCTAACGCTAGCGCACTTGCAGATATTTCGATAGAGCTTGACTCGACATCTGTCAGGTAACTGGGAGCCTGACCTGTGACAGGCGAAGTGTATATAATTAAAGTTAAAGATCACTCAGTAAAAACAACTTAATTCCTATTTCTCCCGGAATTCTAGGACTATATACACTGATCATGATTGACTTGATCTCTTGATCTCCAAATATAGACATGCGCTAGGAATAGAATAACGTGTAGTTCTAAATACAGAATGCAAGCACTGACCGAAAAAAACAACCCACGTACGTATGGACAGTCCCTATTTGTGACTCGAGACATTTCCCTGTCCAACTTCTTCGGTGGTTATTCTTAGCCGTCGACAACATCAGACCACAGAGCTCTTGCAGGAGACGTCCCCCGACCGAAATCAAAGGCTAGTGCTGCCATTAAAACTGGTCAACCGTTCCGAGTGACAGACGACGCCCTCGAAGACTTTGCCAAGGTGCTTGGTAGACAGGCTCATGGAATAGGGTTAAAGCCATTGGACTCAATAAGCGCGGTAGACAACCTCGCTGATAAGCTAGTCCAAACCATTAGCGATGCAATTAGGGCTACCAGAATACGCGGGAGTGCGAAGAAGGGTAGGACGGCACCTTGGTGGAAGTTGGAGTGCTCACAGGCCAACCGCGAATACAGGATATTCAGGGACGAAGAGAGCAGAAAGGATTTCCGTCACATAGTCAGAAGTGCGAAACGCCAATACTGGCGGCGAAAGTTCTCAGAAGCTACAACTGACATCGACATGTATCGGATGGCGCGCTGGGCAAAGCCGCGACTTAAATCCGCTGTTCCACCACTTCAAACTCCCGACGGTTTTGTCTCGGATCCAGGAAAGCGTGCACTTCTATTGCGCGA